CACTCATTTCGTCATGCAACACATTTAATTAAAATTCATGTTTTAAATTAGACTGCAGGTTTACTGAAATTTTACAGAAAATTTTTTCCCCCCTTGGTAGCACTTAAAAATTAGTGACTGGAGCCTACCTGTTACATGCTTTATGATGTTTCTGTAGTGTGTGTCTCTGAACTAATATTGTTATTATATTGTTATATAAATTAATATTATTAATAAAAATTGATTTACTCTCTTGCCAAGTATCCTATGAAAGGTACATGAATCAGCTACAGCAGATCAAAAATATATTTTTAAATTTCCAGAGGAGGTGTAGAAGTTTAACAGAGTTAATATATTTTATAGTAGACATGGGGGGTTTTTTTAAAATAAATACCCTAATTTTTTTTATCTATTTAGGTGGCATATTTTGTTCAAGTTACATCAAATGTGACAAAAGGAAAAGTGAAACTCTATGGATATTTGCACTACAAAAATAATTATGATCTTCACAGAATGTAAAGCATGTTATTAATCAGATTCACCTGATTAATCTGATTCAAATGAATAGATCTGACTATTAACCATATTTCTCTGACTGGATGAAAGGCAGGCAAAAAACTATGGTCTCAGAGAATTAAGATAAAGACACTTGTTCATCTTCCACAAAAGAAGTCAAATTGTTCTGTACCATGAGATGTGCATTAGCCTGAGCATCACTCAGGTAACCATCACAGCATGCGCACAAGGGACTTACTCATTCCCTGTCACAGCTATTATTTCTAAGCAAGCTGTAGATTTAATACTACATGAAAAAGGCAAGACTAACATTCAGTAACTGTGATATAAATTAGCTGAATCTTTCTGAAAGTCTAATGATTGCAGAATCTCTTTTGTTTTAATCAAGCAATTGTCAATAACCTGGTTGCATAACAAAGCTGTGTTTTCACTCCATTTGTGTGTGTCAGCTGGATAAGGTTGCAGGAATGAGCAGAGCTGATCCATCAAATAATTGTATCAGGGTGCTTCCTTGACACTGTTTTTCTAAAACAAATAGAAAAACATGTGGATTTTGCCCAATAACTAAGTACACTGAATAAAACTGTCAGTAGCAGTAATACGTGGAGCAATACACAAAGCCTCCTTTACCTGTTTGCAACACCTTGTTTTACACTGTATTTGTCAAGGTTCGGGTGCCTGCTGGCATGCAAATATGCAAAATTACAGAAGACACTGGTCACATCCGCAGCAATAATCCATAGGCAGCAATATGACTACACATGTAAAATATTCTATCTATTTTGTACAAGTGAAAAAGTCATTGAGCACAGAAATGTGCACAGGCTTATCACTTTCTCAAGATCACATCACTCTGAGCTGTGTCTTTCTCTACACTGCTCTACCAATGGCCTGTGAACTTCTACCCTCCCGAAGCAGTTCAGGATGCACAGCTGCAAATTTCGTTTAGAAGAAAAGCCCAAAACATACGCATTCCCATACAGTTAGCTGTTTTCAACTGTCTGCTGGTAAACATTATGAAGAACTGATTCTCAAATTCTGTCAATACCTCACCAAGATGCTTGCAATTAAAATAATGAAATAATTATATTTGCAATTAAAATAACAAAATCATTATGTTCTTGGAAATAGCATCCTTTCATTTCTCTCTCTCTCTTTTTTTTTTTTTTCTTTTTTTTTTTTTTTCAGTTACTTAACTCTTGCTTCTTTTCTTCTACCAAATGCAACACACTATAATCCATGAGGGCTGGGGGATTTACACAGAAAACATTTCGGTTTAGAAGAACAAATCAAGGGCAGATATTCCACTCTTTCACTGGTACACAGAAATCACCCTGCCAGTCCTGCAATATGTTGTGTTGCTCAGAAAAGTAGGATGTGGGTAGCACGTGTGCAGGAGAAAGAGGACAAACAGCATCTGAGGCACAAAGAGGTAGAGGGATTTAAAACAGAAGGAACACAAGAATTTGCATTTTTTAGACTAAATGAAGACCTTACACATATCTTTATCTAGACTTGGAATTGGCACAGTTCAGGCATATAGCACTTTGATGGGTCAGGTTCTATGTGCAGGTGTGTCACCCGTCAAGAGTGGAGTGCCATAGCAAAGATATCTTCGTTGTACAGGAGGAAGGTACCGTGTGACTCCCAAAAGTCTTTGATGCTGATGTGGACTGTTCCTCTGGATAAAGAAAGGATAAATCACACACAGAAGCAAAAACACATGTCAGTCTGAGACAACTAGTCTGGTCACTGAGATGTGCTAACATCAGCGGGAGAAGTTTCTCAGATGTTCTAACTGTGAAGCAGAAGGTCATATTTTGCTCTGAGGGCAACTTCAAAAGGAACAAAAATGCTGGTCTTTTTTTGTTCTTTCAGTAAAAGAAATGGGTTTAAACAGAAAAAAAAGATGAGTTTTCCACTGGAGAAATAACAGTGACAGTCAAGTGAATCTTAGAAAGACAAAGAATTCTCTTGGACACCTATGTGTCTCTGAGTTTACAAAATACAACTCTATATGTGGCTCCGAAAGCAGGAGCAGAGGCTGCTCCATTCAAACTAAGTGGGGCAGGTAGTGATAGACAGAGGGGAGTTATTCCTTCTGAAATAAACTCCACAGCTAGCAACTAAGCACAAGTTCTTTCTGTGACTGATTTTAGATTTAGCTTCAAAGTATAAAAACTGGCTTTTTGGTATCATCCAACAGATGTATTCATCATTTAAGTAAAACAATTATTTTTTCATATCACAGTGTTCTGACCCCTAGCAACCTTTAAGACAGAATTAATCAAGCTGTAATCCATGGACTGGCATAGCCGACAAAGCCTCATGAAGTTTTCCTTTTTTTTTTAATTAAAACAAAAAACTAAGACTACATACATATATTCCCATATAGCAGGTATGTGGCCATGCCTACTGCAAGTATAGTCAATGTTCAGGTCTCTCCCAGAATCTGAGGAGTTCATTGTGATTTACTCATCACTAAATATTCAAAAGCAGTCTCCAATTTTCCAACAAAATTTAGAACTGATGGACAAAGGTGTTTTCAAAGTTAATAATCTACCAAGAAAAAAATACTGAAGACAACTAAAAGCTCACTTACCTTGCCTGAAAGAAGGATGACATTTCAAGAGACCTATACAGTAACACAACAATTCTATTGGCTTGCACTTTTGACACAGCTTGGTACCAACATTATAGGAAAGGAACATTGCAGATTAGCTCCATACAGATCCTTCTGTTCTGGTGAAGGATCTGAGAAGCTGCAGACACATTACATTACACTTGCATTTCTTTTCTCACTCTCTCCCCAGACCGCTTAACCTTTGTTGCAAGCCACTGAAAAGCAGATAGCATTTTACTCAAATAAAGGCAAGTAAATACTCAAATCCTTTTGTACCCAAATAACAAAGATAATAAACCAATAATCTTGATTTACATTACATGTTTCCTGTATTTTTTCATTCACAAGTATAAATGTAAAATTACTTTAAGTAACATTGATGTAAAAAATTCTCTTTTGTGTCTTTATCTTAGGTTCTGGGAAAAATGTAAAGTTGTGAATCTGTTTATTTTAGTTATTTTTGATACAGATAAGAATTAGAATATATATTTGGATAAGGATAAAAATCTTCACAAACATATTTGCCAATTTTACCACAGTAGGTAAAGAAGTGTTTCATATTAAAGATTTGCCTTTAATCTGAAAGTCACCATTTTGGTGGAGCTGATCTCTTTGTTATCTTTTTTTTTCTTTTTTTTTTTTTTTTTTTTTTTTGGTGAAATTTAATTTCTTAAAACAACAGCTTTCTTTCTGAAATGACTGTGTATCATTACCCTGGTAATCTCGCTTTGAGATTTCTAATTATTTATTTGAATACTAATTCCAATCCACCTTTGATATTCTTCTTTCCTACTATTCAAACAAGCTTTTGATTGTCCCAGCTCAACACTGGTGGCACTAATGCTGAAGAGAGGACCAGCTGGTGTGTCACAATGTCATGCAGCAAACCACATGCTCCTCTCTAGCAGCAGGAGCTACTACTGAGGAGGTTAGGAAGTGGTTGCAACACCTCATTGTTAACATTTTTTACCCATTATCTGCATACTATTTTTCATCTGCACTTTGTGTCAAAACACAGTTTTTTAGAAAGGAAAGCTGTAAATCTGTTTCGATCTCAGGCCCCTGTGCACAAATATTGTTTGAAAACAGAAGATAATGCCTTTTTGTTTCTCTATTTGTAGCTGCTGGTTGCTGCCTTTATAATGCAAAATGTTCTTCTCAGGATTTTTTTTTTCTGTTTTAACAGCTGATTATATGTTTCATTGCTGTGTCTTTGATTTCATGGTTTCTTTGTGATTTGGCTTAATAGGAGGTACTGTAGTTTCACAATGAGCTTTCAATAAACTTGTCAGAATGCTGCTCAAAAATATATTTTCTATTTTGCTTCTTGCCTATTGTCAAAATTTTTGTTGATAACAACATACGCTGAGGAGCTCCTTTGTAGTTTTTAAGGAAATGTTGTTCTCTTTATAGAAGTGCTGCATACTGAGAACATGATACGCTTACTGTTGACTCCTTAAACCATAGAAAGGGAAGAGGTAGGAAGTAATCTAGCATGGATTTAAACAGTATCAGTTTCCTTGTGCTGTGCTTTTGTTCCAGTTAGGAGTCAGCCTCAGCAAGAGCTTCTATACAAAGTGATGATGCACTTTACACAAAAATCTTCCATCCTAGTATTGGTGTAGAGGTGAGCAGCTCTCTTCACCCTCTCCTGTCTCATTGTAACTCCCTCTACCATCAGAAACTCCTTTACAGACTTTCAACAGCAAAACCACTCACAATAAAAACAAGGACTAAATTAATCTGCTTTGTACATTTCTTGATTACTTTCCTTTGCCAAAGGAGTATCATGGTGAGAACATATTTTAGGTTGCTTATGCACAGATGATTGCTGTGAGCAGTGATGCCGCACAGCAGGATGGGCTGGCATGGGCAGAGCAGCTCACCACAGCAGCAAGTCCTCACATTCTGTGCTGGAGAACGTCATGGACATGCAGCAGCAATCGGCCTGTAGCAGTCATTTATGACACCCCAGCATGTTATCTGGGGCATCCTTGCTTAAGTCAGCCTTCCTGAAGAAGAACTGTTAGGCATCAGAACAAAGAGAAGAACCTGTTACAGAGCAGTTGGTAATGAACTTGGTTGCAATGTAAGCTGTTTATGGGGTTAGAATTTGCTTGTCTCTTTTTATCTTATGTAAGATATTAAAATAATTTTCTTCCACTTTTTGAAGATGCATTAAGATACTACTTCTAGTCCATAATATTGGGCTCCAATCTGCAAGTGTTCCTTGCCATAGAAGTCCATTCCAGGTGCAGGGGATCTCATTCTATCAGTGTTTACGTACAGGCTGGCCCACAAAGCTAACTAACACAGCATGTAGCAAAAGTTAGGCAAAGGCAGTCAAACAGCATCTGAGGAGCCACAATTCCACATCAATCCTTACACAAATGTTTGATTTGTAGCATCAAGTCAGCACCTCAACCTTCATCAGCAAAGCAACATGAAGGGGGAAAAAAGCCAACAGAAACAAGAGAAAGAAAAACAAACAAGGATATCCACAGAAATATAGAGGATGTTTATATCCTCTACATATAGAACCCAAGGAAGCAGAATTTCAGCACTTCCTTTCTATTACAGACTTTCAATTTAGAACACATTTCTGTGAATTTGTCATTCACAGTTGCTATGGAAAATCTTTGATGCTTAGCCAGGGTAAGGAGCAGAGGAAAATGAGAGTGTCACAACTCAAGTAGTTTGATTGGAAGTTCACTGGGCCAGTGCTTTTCCGCCTGTCTACCTGAAGACTATTGGTAATGCTTATGAGCACTGTGCAAATATTAACAAATCAGCTGAGGATTTCTGAGCTGGCTGGAAAATGACGAACAATGCAAATATGCAGCAGGAGAGGTGAAAAATGCATGCAAGTCAACCTATACTTTCTGGTCTATAGGTCCCAAGCCTCATTACCTTTGAAACTTCTGCTTGCACATAAACAGCACTTTAGTTTCTTTCTCGAATATGGAAGCAGGGTCTGACACCCACAATTTAATGAGCCTCAATGAGATCAAAAGAAGCCAGTGAGAGAGATTTCAATTGTCATCTTAAAATAATTTATTTCTCTATTTGTTTATTTATGAAGCTTTATCTTATAATTATTTTTCTTTCTCTTTTATAGATATATTTTTATGGATATCTAGGAAGGAATTGCACTGCCGTTTATTTGAGGAATGAGGAAAAGCACTGATGCACCTCTTATAATCAAAGTAGAATGTACTGCTTATAATATAATGCTTTTCATCTTCAATACACTCTGCAAACATGTGTATTAAACCTTAAAACATTAGGTTTAATTAAACCTTATACAATTAGGTTTAAAAACATTAAGTTTTTTTAACCTTAACATTAGGTTTTAAACATCTTCATTTTCTATGTGGAAAAAACTGTGCCAGAAAGAATTTTACTGCTCTGTGTATGAGTAGACTACATCGAAGTTCAAAATTAATATGTCTGAGTGGGGATACGAAGCACAGCCAAACTAAATGATCAGAGCAATGAGAGGCTTACTCTTATTACTCCCTGACAGAGAAAATTGTAATTATAAAATATGGGATTCTAGAGGGAGATTTTCTTCCTAAGAAGAGGAGAGATGGAACTATGGAATATATATTTTTTAAAAATTACTCTTGGCAAAAGAAAAACTCAGAAAATATTCCTATCATGTGTCAAAGAAGAAAAGATGAGCAGGCAATCTCAGCACTATTTTCTTGAATGCATTAAGAATCAGTCATTACCAATAGACGCAAACACTACTTTTTCTTCTGCAGAACTCTTGTTCCTTCAGTAGCAGGAATGGCTATTCACTTTTCATTCTGTTATTTCCTTTTCCAGTATACACTTCAATCCTGCCTTTGCTACCAGATATTTGATTGAAGAAACACAGAAAACTTCAGAGCTTTTCCCAGGAGATCAGCAGCATTGATACTTTAAGGACACTCTGCCTTACAGAGCTCTGCCCTGGACTGTATGTCAGAATCCAGCATCAGCAGCTCCAGCAGAGATCCCTGCTACTGAGACACTTCACAGATGCTAAAGGCAGAGGTAGTTACATACTGTGTGCTGATTCATCCTCTTTTTTGTTGCTCACAATTATGTCCTGACTTCACATGATTTCTTTCTGAAGAAAGACCAGACAATCATTAGGGTAGGGAACTGAGCAGAGTTGGCGTTAGGATGCTGCCAGAAGACCTCTGATACACCTCTCAAAATCAGTTAGGCCACTGTACTCAAAATACTCACTGTACTCTCTGTGTTCTCCCACACTGATGAAGGAAATCACAACTCAATCTGAGAGAGAAACCACACGTTAAAAATGTTGGTCCTCCTCACATTTGCTCTAAAATTCACAGGATGGTATGACAAAGCTGTGTTTGCAGCTTCATTGGCAGCCTTAGTTTTAACACTTCTGTATGTGTTGTATGTGCACATAGAAAATTATTCTAAAAGCAAATACAGCTGGGTTGGCTTTTCCTTTGACTACACAAGATGTTGATGAGAATTCTACGGAGTACAACCTCTCTGAGTACAGATGGCAGGAAAACCAGATAAAACAGCATTATTTTAATCCTGAGGTTAAAGTAGCGCCTCTCAAGTGTAAACATATAGAATTTAACAACTTACACAGACCAAGATTATTTTACCTATGCTGTACATAAAATAAAGTATATCCAATTAAAATTGGAAAGTTGAAGGTTCATGTTTTCCATTTGGAAGACAGAGGTATTTCCCAAAATAAATGCAAATCTTGCTAGAAGCTAAAATGACCTCACACTTTGATCACTGCAAAAAGGCATAGTAATAAAGCAGTGTATACATGAAATACGCACAGTATTTTCCCTTTGATGCGCGTCTTGGGATCAGTACTGACGATCCCTGGCACTTAGTGACACCTAGTGGAATTTTCTTGAGTGGGAGAAACCCCTTCAGTCTTGGTTTGTTTAATGTTATACAGCCATGTTGGAAGAATAGCTTCTCTGATGCCCAGCAGCAGATTTCTTCCCTACCTTCCTTTTGCTTTCTGAATCTCTCAGGAAGCTGAGTACAGAAGGACTTCCAAGTGAGAACTATGCCTTTTATAAAAGAAAGAACAGTTTCCTAAAATATGGGAATGGGAGAAAAAGATGTTTCATACCTCGATTAAACCCCACAATATGTCTAGAAGAGGGCTTCAGCATCCTCAGAAATCACTGTGCAGAGAAACACAGTGAAGTCTGCACTGGGACTCAAATGGTGCTGGACTTCGGGTGTAAAACTGTGGTCAGTCAGTACTGGTCTTCAGGAAATTGCAACAGGCTTCTTTACAGGATTCCAGTGCTCTCAGGAAGTTTTTAAATACTCTGCTGGTGGTTTTCACTTGTGCTAGTCTTTTCTATGATCTTTGCCTTACATAATGTCCTGTTCCTGGCATCCAGTGAATGTTTAATTTATAGTAAAAACAAATCTTTCTTGTTTGAATAAAGGTCCTTTTCCAGCAGGTGTCACTGTGAGGTAATGAACACCAAATCCAGTCTCCTCATTGAGATGTGGGGAGCTGGATGGGGCGCAGGACACCCCTACCATGGCTGGGTGAAGAATCCATGGCTCAGTGGCCTCAAAGCAAGGAATATTGGCACACACTCCAGAGCCTGACAAAAAAGTGTGTTTGAAGAGGCAGCCACAGGCCTTTTCCAGTGCCTGGTTGGGGGACGTGTGTTGGGTTTGCCACACCTGGGCCCTGCCCTTGGCCTCCAGCAGCTCCATGAGCATCATGAGTGGAGGGGGCTACTCAAAGCACATCATTTATTTTGGCTGTGAAATACCTGGAGTTGTACACAGGATGAATCCTTGCAGGCTTCAGTAGCTAAGCCTACTTTTTCAATCCTGGACTTCCGCTGTGTCATGAAATCCTTAATTTGGCTGCTGTGGGACTGATTTTCCAGAGCAATAAGATGCTCAAGGCTGTGACTGTATAGCTATCTGCCTAAGGACTGTGTGCCAGGCATCAGGAAGCCAGATTTGAAAATATCAACATAATTTCATATTTTATTGCAGCCAAATTGAAAAATTCTGCTGGCTGCAGAACTCCAGCTCAGATTTGATAGCTTTATTAATTTCCATAGTGGTTTTATGTTTTTATTGAAGCAATTGAAGCAATTCAGTATCTATATGTCTGAGAAATTCAGTCATAATAGCCTTTATGAGCAATTCTATTATGTAAACTATTACATTATTGTTATATAATATAAACCACAAGTAGACTTAGATATAGAGATGGATGAGGAAGTTTTGACAGCACTCTTTCTCTGAAAAATATTAGCACATAAGAGTATTTTGTGGAAGTGTACCAGCTTTGCCTAACCTTCCTTAAAAGGGAAGTAAAGGAGGACAGGAGCACAAAAAACTAACAACATTCAAAAGATGAAGAGGAAGGTACCCTGCTGGCTCTCTGTCACCTGCCCTCTACTTCAACTCTTAGCTATCACTTTTCAGAGTGCCAGGACTGTCAAGCTCCTTTCAGCTGGAGTGTTTTTTCATTTTAAGTTTTTCATAAGAACTGTCAAATATCCTTTTTTTTTTTTTTTTTGGTATTGGTTCTTAAAAAACAGAGAACATTTCTGTGAGTATAAATAATATCCTATTTGTGTCTACTTAGAGAATAAATATCATTTTATCTCAGGAAATATGTAATAGAAAAGTGTAGGAGTTTGGATTTTTCTGTTTCAAAAATTATTTTTTAGTAGGTGTTATAGGGGAAAAGCTAAATGAAATATTTTTTCATCAAAAAAGGAACTACTGTCAAGAAGCTCTTCAACCCATTACTGTGGGTTACTATGTGGATACAGGGTTACATAATAGGCTGCTGCAGATAAGAAATGTCAGATCAGCACAAAGTGTTTAAACTGTAATATGACTATTCAAAACACTACTGTTTCCTATAATTGGCACAGTGAATTATAGCCTGCTACATGCAAAGGTAGTCAAGTGCCTTTATTTACCAGCAGCTATTGGAATCCTACATCTTCATTGTGCAGGGGTCTCTGAAAGGCCATTCTCAAACAATAAAAGTTCAGGCACTTGTACATAACTTAGAAATGTCTCATTATATTTTTCCCTTTTGAAACGGGTTAATAACAATCAGAAAAATGTCATTGATTTTATTTGCACATTTGAACCTACAGCAAATATCAAATCTTCACCTTATGCCTCTACTTTCACAAAGAAAACAAGGACTCCATCTAACTCCCTAGAGCCTCTAAGGAGATATTTCAACAAGAGTATCAGAATCTCCTTCAACTTTGAGATTTGCTCTTTGAAGCATGGAAAGTGATGTGAGAGAAAATATTTCTGAGTCTTTTGATCTCTGAAGATAAACTTCCTTGAGGTGAACTGACTAACTAGTGCAGGAGGCACATTAATTACTTCTGGTCTGCACTATAATTTTCTTTTTTAAATTACTTAAATTGAAAAACCCTCTCCTTTAAATAAACTGTAAGAAATTAATGCAAATAAATGTGACCTTTCTTGGATTTTTTTCCGTTTATTAACTGCTTCTTTTTTTTGTGATAAGCTTATCCAGTACCATAAGTAAGAACTTGATGTACAAAGATGTACAAAGCCTACTCAACACTACTCAGAAACTTATCAGAGTTTCAGATCTGTGATCTGTGTGTGTTATTTTTTCTTACTCTTCATGATTCAGAAACTCAGTTAAGCAAGCATTACTGGCTTTGTGTCACCATGAGGCACAACCAAGTTTAAGCAGTCTTCAGAGAACTCAGGTTTTGAATGGAAAAAAATAGTTAAGAGGAAGATAGAGGGACAAGATCTACTTTCCACCCAAAGCAGCATCACTAGAGAAGGGCTGATAACTGTACAATTGCATGAACTTTGGCAACGACAGCCCAGCTCCACCACTACCTGGTGTGCAGTGCCAGGACCATGGCTTTTTAGACCAAGCTGACAATACTCCTTTCCATTCATTGTGTCTTACTCGGGCCTTCAACAGAAACAGAGTAGGTTTACTGTGAATATTGGGAAGAAACTCTTCACTGTGAGCATGGTGAGAAACTTGAATAAGTTGCCCAGAGAAGTTGTGAATGCTCCATCCCTGAAAACATTTAAGGCCAGGCTGGATGGGGATTTGAGCAACCTGGACTAGTGGAAGGTGTCCCTGCTCATGGTAGAGGGGTTGGAACCAGATGGTCTTTAAGGTCCATTCCAATCCAAACCACTCTGTGATTTTATTGACCACATGATTCAGATTCTATAGCCATGGGCATTGCTTAAGTCATGTTTAGTGTTAATGCTGAGTATTTCTTACACAGTGAAAAATTCTCAATACTTCAGTAAACAAAGAATGGAAGAGTTTGGGGAAAACAGTGGCAGAGGGCCACCAAGAGCTGCTACAAAAAGAGCTGTTACAAAATATTTGACATACGTTGGATTTCACGTTTCGCTACTATACATGCTTACTAAAAGAAAGCATTAAAGGCCATTACACCCAGAAAAATTACTGAGTTGTGAATGCCTCTTGTGCCATGCATTTGATATCACTTGCTACCACATGCTATGCATGTGATGTCACTTGTAATGCAGTATAATAAAATAAAGGAAATTAAAATTTTATTTATTGAGCTGTGTGATGGAATGATTACATGAAAGAATGCTTCAAATACTTTTTATCATCTAGAGAATCTGTTTTGTTTAAAGAGAATATTGCTGATCTCTGAACTGTCATTAAACATGGAACAAGAGCCATTGCCACAATGACTCCAGAGACTAGAGATGAAACATAAAGGTGTCTTGCAAAACTGTATTTCACTGTAATGAAAGGAACTTCTTTTTCTTCTAGATAAGAAATGCAAAAATTCATTTGTGGTTATTCCTTTTAAATTCTGCCTTCAGATTATTCCAACATATACAACAAACAAAATGGTCAAATACTTTCTCACAAATAACTCTCAGAGATGCACAGTTATGAATAGAAAGGTTTCCCTCAGGAGTACTGCAAATCAAAGCCAATATATTTTAAGTTGGAATCTGACCAGTTTACAAACATACTGACTGCAAATGCCTTCAACAGTACTAGAACTGGCAACTCAGAATCTCCCTTCCTTCATTTAATAGCCTGAGGCAGAAGGGGTAAATGTAATAAAATTGTTCTCTGCTTATTGCAATATTGTTTCTTCCTGTATGAAAGACTTCTTTCACTTAGTTTCACTTCTGGAAAACTGAATTTACAGCTAAGAATGGAATTAATTCTCCTATTTCTTTTACTACCAAAGTGATGCTCACAGTAAATTGGGTTAAATAAAGCAGCTTTTTTCTTCTGATAGCTTCTGCAAAACAAGGTCTTGTCAAAACAAGCCATCTCTAGCTTTCCTCTATTCAGAGTCGATGTGTCTCCTTCCCACGGCAGAACAAGCTCCTGTGGTAGGTGGGGCATGACACCACAAGGCTGTTTACGTGACACAACACTTACAGGCTGCCAGCAACTGCTTTTCCCAGATGTCAGGAACACTCCCCTGTTCAAAGCCCTGCTTTAGTGAAATACGGCATGGTAGGTACAGAGACCAAATTGCATTCACATTCCTCTGATAATCCCAAAGCCAAAGCAAACCTCTCAAATAAATGTATCTCAAGTATGAATGGCCCTTTTCCTGAATCACTGTAAAGCATATGACCTCAAGAGG